GAGTTTTCCTCTGGAATGTCACATGTTGGAATCATATAATACATAGTATGAGGCCTCTTCTCTTAGATTGCATTTTTTTTTGCTTCACAGTGGTTTAATATGAACAGAGTTGAATATGACACTGTCTGACAGAAGAACAGTTTGCTGAATAAAAGCCCCAAACAAGGGTGTATACACATAGCAGAGACAGGGGCTTTAGACTCTCAGCAATTGTGCACATAGACTGCATTTGTTAAATTCATTCACCCACCAAAGAATTCTCAGGTTGTTTCCATACCTTTGCTAATGTGAACAACATTGCAATGAACACCACAGTGTCAATACTTCTTAGAGATCACCGATTTCATTTCCTTCAGCTCCATACCCAGAAGTGGGCTTGTTGGATTGTATGATAGTTCTGCTTAATTTTTTGAGGAACCTCCATATAGTTTTCTCTCAATTTATATTCCAAAATATCATACAAGGATGGTCATTTTTCTGCACACTGATTACATTTGTCAGGTATCTTTTTGTATCCTTTTAAATAATCACCATCTTACCTGGTGTTTAGTTTGATGTAGTCTCAATTGTTTATTTTTGCTTTAGTTACCTGGACTTTAGTGTCATATCCAAAAATCATTGCCAAGCTAACATCTAAAGGTGTTTCTCCATGTTTTCTTTTCTTTTTTTTTGGGGGGGGGAGTCTGATCGTGGGCCTGAACTCTGGGCCTGGGTGCTGTCCGTCAGCTCTTCAGCTCAAGGTTAGCATTCTACCACATGAGCCACAGCGCCACTTCCGGCTTTTTTTTCTGCTTATGTGGTGCTGAGGAATCAAACCCAGAGCTTCATGCATGCAAGGCAAGCGCTCTACCACTGAGCCACCTTCCCAGCCTCTCTCCATGTTTTCTTTTAGGAACCTTCCTACTTCAGGTCTTATGCTTAATTCAAATCCATTTCAAATTAAATTTATAGCTGTAATTTCATCCTTTTGTATGCAGATGTCCCTTCTTCCCCAACACCATTTCTGGAGACGCTATTGTTTCTCCATTGTGTATTCTGAATGACCTTACTATAAGTTAGTTGACTGTGCATGTATAGTTTTATTTCAGATCCCACATAATGTTCTACTGGCCTACACATCAGTTTTCATTGCAGTAACACATAACTTTGATTACTATAATTTTTCAGGTTTCAGGTTCTTTTGTAGTGCTGTACTAGGGATAATTTTCTATGTCTGTTTAAAAAAAAAGTGCCATTGGAATTTTTATACGAATACCAGTAGATCTAGGCTATTTTTGTAGTATAAACCTTTTAACAACATTAATTCTTCTAATCCATGAACTTATCCTATTTGTCTTAAGGACAATATTTTAAAGCCACAGCCCATGGTATGCAAATAGGGATACCACTGGATTTATATACCAAAGGAAATTAATTTAGGCACTGTTCAACTACTAAATTTGAGGAAGAAACCCTTTTCTCAATGTTATTAGCATTAGGGAAAATACTGTTTCAAATAATTGACTTGACACTGCTGCTTTGCTAAAAGAAAAAAAAGGCTAAAATATTAACTATTAATGATGACCAGATGGTAGATATTGAAGCCACTAAAAACAAACCCTGTAGGGTAACTCACAGACACAAGATGCAACTAACAGCAGTAAGAGAGCTAAAGCTGTTTTTCTTTAGCATTATAAATCTATTTATAAATGACTATACCAGAGCTCTGAAGAGGCTATCTTATAAATCAAACTGTCATGAAAATATGTGGCTCTTTTCTTTAGTGTCACTACTGTACTGAAAATTTTATTTTTCTAGTCATACTAAAGGTAGTAATTAGAAGCTATATTATTTCTGGCCAACCATAATGAATGCAATCCCAAGGTTAATTGCTATGCTACAAACACTGCAGCAATTTGATTTTAGAGCAGGGAGCAACAGGTAATGCACTTCATGGGAAAGTTACTTTCTAAATAAAGACTATCCTCTATGTTATGTTCATAGACTGCCCTAAGTGAAGTCGATGTGTAATTAAATCCTCACACATCATTGGCAGGGACTGGAATCTTGGGTAGAGCTTTCAAGGCCAAGGCAAGGAAGGGATTGAGAGAGAAGTTTAGGAGGGAGGGGGCCCTCCCTACTGCTCTAACTTGTTTTCCTCTGTTCTTTTCCACGCCTGGGCTCAGCCCTGCCTGCTTTATTTGAGAGTATTACCACTGTGATTTGTTCCCTAAGCCTTTACAGTCTTAGACAGGTCAATAGTCACAAGCAGGCTTGTCGATCCATGAGCATAAGTCTTTCCATGTTCTACTGTCTTCGTTTCTTTAATGTGTTATAGTTTTCACTATAAAGGTCTTTTATTAATTAAATTCATTCCTAGACAGTTTTTGTTTTGTGCTGGTCCCAGGGCTTGAATTCAGGGCCTGGGCTCTGTCCCCGAGCTTTTCTGCTCAAGACTAGTGATCTACCACTTAAGCCAATTTCCCATTTCCACCTTTTAGTTGGAGTAATAGTCAGATTTTCCTGCCCCTGCTGGCTTTGAATCAAGATCCTCAGCCTCCTGAGTACCTAGGATTTAAATGTGTTCATGAGTTTCAAATATATCACTTTAAAATGGCACTGTTTGGTACAGGTATCCTAGCCTGATCAGAGAAGGGTTCACTTAGTTTGTGAGAAGAAATATTTCTTGAGACAGGGTCTCACTAAGTACCCCAGGCTGGCCTCAGACTCATGATCCTCCTCCTCCCACCCCCACCCCCAAAGAAAAAAAAATAACCTAAGACTACAACCTACAGGCAAGCACTGTCATACCTGGCTGAGACCTAGTCTTCCTGTATGGAAGCTTACAAATTTAGAGTGAAATACTTTTCCCACACAGAAACTTCCTCCACAGAAACCTTTTCTTCCGACATAGAAACATCCTACATAAAAACATTCTGTTCTACAGTACATAAACTGTCCAGCCCTTAATGACTTCAAGATTTCTTCATTACTACTTTTTCCTCACAAGGCTGAGGAGGAATTCCTCTCTCCAAACTCAATCTTTTCGAATGTTGAGGTCTGACAAATCTCCAAACTCTTGACTTTTGGTTATTGCATGGTGTCTTTCATCTCAGGTACTGAAATAGGACCTTTTTTCTTTCTTTTCTCTTTCCTTCCTTCCTTCCTTTCTTTCCTTTCTTTCTCTTTCCTTCTTTTTTGTAGCAGCATAGTTTTCTGCCAATAGCCTCCACTCAGTCCCTATCATTCTACCTCTTCAGGAGGTGAGGATCCGAGTTCAAAGTCAGTCCAGGAAGGGAACTCCAATTATCTCCAATTAACCAGCAGAAAGCCAGGAGTGGAGCTGTGGTTCAAGTGATAGAGTGCCAGCCTTGAGCAAAAAAGCTCAGGGGCAAGGCCCATGCCTTTAGGTCAAGCCCCAGGACCAGCACACACACACACACACACACACACACACACACACACGTCACTTCGCATTTGTCAAGTGTTTGAACAAATTAATTTGCTTCATGTGCAATTTCATCTCCTCTCCCTTAGAGCAAGGTGCTCCCTACAGAGCCTATGAATGAAGGGACTTGGCCCTGTTCTCAAAACCTATTCGTCCTCCTTGTGACTAGGACCTGTCTGCAGAGGAGAAACCACATCCCGGAGGATCAGGCAATTTGGTGAAGTGATGCCTGATGAGGCACAGGTCGGGGCGAGGCCGGGCGGCCCGCGCTCACGGGGCCACCTGACTTCCGAGTTAGTGAATGTTCTTTTCTGGTTTAAGGGAAGCTAGGCAGAAAGTTTCAGAGGTCGCGGGGCCCCTGCTGGGCCGGGAACGCGCGTCCAGGTGGAGGGGCCGCGGCCG